CCTGGAGCTGGAGTGGGGTGGGTAAGGACAGATGACCTTGCAGGAACAGCCTGGTGGCGCTGCCGCCCTTCTCCCTCTGGGGGCTGGGTCCTGAGATGGCCCCGGCCTCCCCAGCTCCTGCCCAGCACAGCTGCTTACGAGAGCTTTGCTCACAAGGTCCCCGCATAGAAAGGGTTCCTGCCTTCATGGCGGATGGGAAGGACCTTTAGGGAGAGCAAAACGGGGTCCAAGCTCTATCATGCTGGGCCACTGGCCTTGAGATCTCCTCTCAGAGCTGGGGACGGGCTCCTGGCACTGAGGAGTGGGGTGGGGGGTGGCTGCCCCATGTCTGGCCCACTTGGGCCTCAGAGGCCAGCAGCCAGGAGGACATAGGCTGCCCAGGTGGCTGTGTGGGGCGGGTGGCCAAAGCCAGCCGACAGCAGCTGGGCCCCAGACGGCAGGGAACAGCTGGAGACAGAGCAGCAGTCCATGCTGGTGGCCCTGGGCTGAGGGTGCTGGGGCCCCAGGGAGCAGGCAGGCATGAGCATGGAACAATGGTGTCCAGCCAGGGCTCTCTCTGGTCAGACCAGCAACTGGAGGCCACTGGTGGCCCTTCCTGAGCATCACTGACTGGGCCAGCACCTCCCTCAACGTGGACCCTAACTCTAGTTTCCAAAATGCCCCCTCTTTGCACCCTTTCCCTGCAGGAGTGGGCACACTGCTCAGAAAGGGAGGCAGTAGAACGAGTCCTTGGCCCCCCACCCTGCACCTGGGCCACTCCTCCTAGTGAGGCAAGCTCCCTACCAGGCTCTGGCGCCCCTAGCTCCCTTGCAGCTCGGCTCAGCCAGAAGGCCCTGCTACAGGCGTGTGAATGGGAGGCCTGGGAAGCTATTAGACAGCAGCTGTGTGGCACCCACCACATGGCCCAGGCCAGACACTCGGCTGCGTGGCACCCACCACATGGCCCAGGCCAGACACTCGGCTGCGTGGCACCCACCACGTGGCCTGGGCCGGGCACTCAGCTGCTTGGCACCCACCCTGGCATGGGCACAGCAGCAACGGCAGCTTGTGCCGAGAGCCCCAGCCCAGGGACCATGGTGCCATTTCGTGTCCTTGTGCTGGGCGAGGTCATGAGCTCCCAGGGATTAATGCAACAGGGTGACTGAGATCTCTTTCCTACTGCTTGTCCCCAGAAGTCCAGCGAGTCTCAGAGAGTCCACCTGAGTAGTTTGCCAGCCAGCACCCACCATAGCAGCCGGTACCGGGGACCTCAGCCCACCCAGGTCCCTGGGGGTCGCAGGCACCTGCCTCCACAGCTGGTACCCAGGGCAGCAGCCCCCAGGGTCTCCTGGAGTTGCCAGCATCCACCATGCCAAGCCACATCAGGTCATGACTCGCCACAAACCTGCTGGCTGCCACCCATGCAGAGCACCTGCCAGCCTGACACTTGCAGTGACCCTGTGAGGTGGGAAACTGTTCTTCTGACCATTTTAGAGGCGAGGAGCCTGAGGCTTGGAGACCCAGCACAGGCCCAGCTAGCGGCAGAGCCAGGACCGTCACACAGAGAGTGGGCCCCCGGCCATGCTGCACCTTGATGGGCAGGCTGGCAGATCTTGCCTGATGAGCCGATGGGGGCACTAAACCCACACATCCCAAAAGGCTCCCAGAGTAAGACCACTATACCCACCCCCAGCTGGACACAACAGCAGCTGCTCCATTCCCCTCCCTCCCTCTCCTGGGCCGCCCAGAGGCCTGCCCCTGGTCCAGCCTGTTGGCCCTGACCAGGTCCACCTTCCCCACACACCAGTGCCACACAGGGGTGCTGCCTTCCACTCTGATGGCCTGAACCTGTGGCCAATGCTCTGAGGCTGACAGCAGACCTGAGGTCTGTGTCCAGCTCTACTCATGGACGTCCACACCTGTGGCCCCTCTGTTGGTCACTCAGAGCCATGTTGGGACCACAAGCAGCCGTTTCGAGTGCAGTCTGATGCCTGGCCTGCCCCCCGCACCCCGCCGCCTACCGCCTTGCACCCACCCTCCTTGGAAATCCCACCAGACTCTGGGAACTGAAATCTCTGGGTGAAGGCTCTGCATCCCCAGGTGCAGATGTGAAGCTGGCCCTGGGAGCCAGGAAGGGTGTGGCGGAGCAGAAGGCAGAGCCAGCCTGTCTGGGTCAAGAGAAGGATACCAGTGGGAGCAGCCAAGGCGCCTCGGGGACCTGTCCCCTGCCGTAAGGCTGCAGCCTCATCTGCCCAGTGGGCCTTTGTAGGCAAGGGGAGTGGGGGGGCAGGACCCGAAGGGCAGGGAAGCTCTGAGCAAAGGGGTTCCAGACCCACTCCACTTCTTCTGCTGCCGCTTCTCTTGGGGTTCAGTGTGAGGATGGATGCTCATGGCACGTACCAGGTGACAGTGGGTTTCCCCATCCTGGCATTCCGCCGGCAATCACACTGCCCTCTGCAGTGCACCGGACTGAATGCTTTCACGCAGCGGTTCCAGTGCTCCACACAACAACCCGCTAATGCAACTATGGCCGCTGCCCTGTCAGAAGCAAGAGGTAGGGAGGAAATGGAGAGGTCACGGGCCTGGCCCAAGACCGCCAGCCAGGAAGTGGCTCACAGCCAGATGGCACACACCCCAAGCCCACACAGCCTTCCCTCAGCCGGGGCTTGGAACAACGGGCCCTTAGAGCACAGAGGAGTCCCCGGGTGGTGCAGGCAGAGAACACGCCCCACTACTGACCCAAAGTCCACCCCGAGGTACTGCACAAGAGAGGCCTGACAGTCGGCTTCTGAAAAAGCAGCCACCGACGGACCCCGCGAACATCTGCTCCGACACGCAGGGCGCCAGGGGCAGGGCCTGACCCCGGAGCCACCGGTTGAGGAAGCCCAGGACTCTCCAGGCAGGTCCTCACCCACCCTTGAATCTGCCTAGAACGACTTTCATAATCAGGCGGCCTTCACACAGGGGCCAAGACTGCTGAGTGGACACCAGGAATCAGACTGCTGCCAGCGACTGCCTCTGGCCAGTCCTGAGCAAGTTTCTGAGCTGACCAACAGTGAAGGGTCGGCAGGCGTGGACATCCGTGAGCAGAGCCAGGCCCAGACCTCAGCTCAGCTCGGGCTCACAGCCGCTGGTCAGCAGGATGGGGCCTACTGTGAGCACAGCCTGACTCCTGCTTGGCTGAGTGTCCCAGCTCAGGCGGACTCGGGCACCCTCAAGTCCTGCTCAGGACGCTCTCAGAGCTGCTGGGTCTCTCACTGGTCCTGCCAGGACCTGGCCAGCTGGCATGCCAACATGGTGCTGTCAAGACCTCTTCCTTCAAGCTGGGAGCAGGTGAGAAGGGCGGGCCAGGGCCAAGCGGCGGAAGGCTGAGCGGCTCAGAGCTCCTGGCTGCTGTCATCATTACCCAGCCCCCATGGGCGGGTGGAATCCCGGTCTCCAACCCCAGGGGTACTGCAGGTGTTGGAGAGCTGCTCAGAGGGGAGGGGGGAGGCAGCGCTCCGCTATGGGAATAGGAAGTGCTGAGAAAGCCCTTGTCTCACGTCCTGGCTCCAAAGCCTGCGTCCTGTCTCCACCGTGCATGCTAGGACACCCCCATGCCTGCCGCCCGCAGGTAAGTGAGGAAGGGGGATGGGCACCCCAGGATGGAATAGGAAACCTCCTGGGAACATGGCTGCCCCACAGATGGATTTCTAAGGAGGAAACCATTCTGTCCGCAGGGACCCCAGCTCCGGATGGGGAAGGAGGCCCTCACAGTCTAGACGATGCAGCAGAAAGGCCAACGGAGCTTGGAGGTCACCAAGCACAGATCATGCCGGCCACTGCTCTGCGCACTGTGCCCCCGGCGGCGGCAGGGCCACACAGGTTCGCGGAGCCCGAAGGCAGGTCGCAACCCCGTGGCCCGAGGACCTCGGGAAGCGCCAGCGCAATCCGCCCACCCAGGCGCGGGCTAGGAAGACTCCCCTGCGGCGCCAGCCGGGGCGCCCGGTCCCTCCCGCAGGTCGCCGAGGGCGCCTGGGCTCGCGCCGCACCTGTCCGCGCCTCCGGAGGCCCCGGCGCC